CCCCCCCCCCTATACTTTTTGACCAGTCCCTAAAAATAGCTTTTGAATACTGTATGTGCTTGTATGGTCATGCAAATAAAGTTCGTTGTTGTTGTTGTCGTCCCCAGCGCCTGCTGCGCCTCTTTTAGCCGGTGGGGCCTTCAAAGATCTGAGACCAAGAATCTCGCCGTCATTTTGATTACCTTATTGGTACTCAATCATGCACGATTTTGGGCGAGACAATAATTTGATAGGTTTTATTTTCGCGATTTCAATAGGCAAATATGAAAAAAGGCATTAAATTTCCCGATTCACGCGTTCTCAGGTTCATTTTATTTGAAAAAAACTCTGAATCTTTTAAAATTTCCATTACAAAACGGAACAGGACCATGAGAGAAAAAAGACACTTCATTATTTAAAAGGTCACACTTTGATGAAAAATATTAAATTGATCTTTATTTATATATTTCACTACATGTTGTACAGCTACAAACAGGAGCCTCTGCCACAAATGCGTACATTTTTTCTTTGTTTTTCTGGATTTTACAGTACATACTATTAACACGAAAACGATCCTTTGATGCATATTTTTCTGGTTCCCCCGACAACCTAAGGAAAACAAATGAAGTTGTTGGTAACTGGAATTTCTTGGAATAATTATTACAAAATAAAGATAGACCTCTCTCCTCCGCAGAGACTTCCGCTGGGTATTCAAATGTAAAACTCGTATAATTAAAAAAAAACAAAAAACAAAACAGTAAGCGCACGGTGGTTGATGGGAAAGGGAAAAGGCCTAGTCTTCCTTTCTTTCCTCACCCCATGGTCCCCTGCGCGCTATATTTTGCTCTCTTTTCAGCCTCCCTAGAACACAAAGAGGCTTCTGCGGAGGAGAAAGAAGATAGACCCTTGAAAGCTTAGATCCGTCTGTTAAGCACCAAAATACTCTTATTTATTTATTTATTTATTATTTATTTGTTTTGATTAGGGTGTTTCCCTGAAAACGACTTCGACCGACATCAACAAGATATTAATGACACAGCCATCCCAGTATGTGAGAAATGGAACCGAACTAAGCCTACCTGACAAATTGATTGCCTGTTATCCAGATTTTTCCACAAAACAAACGGGCTGAGAAAGAAACAGAGAAGAGTAAACCAACAGGAAAATATATCTCCTTTTAGCAAAGCAACTGGGCAATGAAATAGTCCAGTATTTCTTGATGTTTAAGAAACAAAAACAACCTAGCACAGAGGGTTATAGCCTGCGTGACAGGTGCAAAAGGGGGAGGGGGAGGAGGGAGGGGGAAATAAGCCCGAAAGGGAAAAGGGAAGGGAGGGTCCCTACTTTCTCTCCCTAATCCCCCTCCCTTTTTCCGTTCCTCTTATTCTCTCCCTAGTCCCT